CACAGGGTCCTTATCAATCAAGGGTCTCTGGTACCAGAGAAGAATCACTTAGTGTGAATCCACATGAAATGGGGACCAAAATTTCACAGTGAAGGATGGGAACTTAAAAGACCGGATTAACACTATAGATGAAGAGACAAAACAATAATTTTATTTGATGTTTCCCCAAATTTTGATAACAGTACTTTTCATGGGAAGGGATATTTAGGGTAGATCCTAAAATTCATGAAGGAGCCTAAATGGTCAAGAATAGCCAAGACAATTTTGAAGAAAAAGGCTAAGAAGGGAAGATTTATTATAAAGCTTTAATAATTAAATTAAAGTGGTATTAGCTCAGGAATCATAAAAATAACAGAACAAAGAAACAGATCCTAATGTATAACAGAAATGGGTAAATGACAGATATAGCAGCAAAATAAATAAGCAATAGTTAATTGTTCATTAAATGATGAAGGCATAGTTTACCATATGGAAACCAATTAGATCTCTGCCTCACACTATACAGAAATATAACTCTCAGATGAGTTTAAAGATCTAAAATTTCACCTAGTAAAAAACACCAATGCATAGAAAACTTGAAAACTAAGGTGTGTGTATGTGTATCTATACACACACACACACACACACACACACACACACACACATATATATATATATATATATATATATATATATATATATATATATATATAAAGATCTCTAAGGGAAACAAAGTAAAAGAGCAGTGAAATATATTCCATGCTTATCACATCAACCAAAATTAAAGCCTCTGATTACTAGCAGGCACAGTCAAGGATATGGGGGTCCAAGGAACTCCCACAGGTTGCCAATGGAAGTGATGAAGTGCACGGCTGCTTCAGAGGACAATCTGCAAAACCTAGTAGGGCTGCAGTAACAGACAGCTGTTGATGCGAGAGTATCTTACTACCCAGACATTCAGCTTCTGGGGGCACACACCCTAGACACACTCATGTGCATTTCCATCCAGGATACCACCTGCCATACTGTTTATAACAGCAAAGGGAAAAAAACATCTATTTTGTCCACCAATGGGAAATATTTAAACTCTGGGATATCAAAGAAGTATTACATCTACTGCTATCAACATATGTAATTAACACATGTCAAAACCAACACCAGGTGGGGAAAAAAACAATCACAAAAATAAATGGCAGGTTTCCATTTACCTAGAAGTGTAAGCACGAAAGAAGACAAGATGTAGTAGGCACACACTCAGTCCCAAGGTTACAGCTCATGTGGACTCCACCCCAAATTCTCATCCTTCAGTATCTGAATTTCCCTCTCGTTCAGCAGAGAATGTTCTGTTCATGGCAACCCCATACTTAGACTAAGCAGCTACTGAATGCAAAGTAGTGTGCTGCGTGCGGGAAGGATGAGAGACACGTACAAGACTTCTGTCATCCTGCACCAGGGTGCAGTTCAGCTAGGGAGGTTGTCTGAGAGACTGGCTCGCTCCTGGCCCTGGGTCTCACCGTGTGTCAACTTAGAAGACATGCTTAATTTTCAAGGCCCAGGTCCCCAACCTCCTGGCCACAGACCAGTATCATCCAGACCTGTTAGGAACCTGGCTACACAGCAGGAGGTGAGCTGGAATGTAATGCATTTGAATCATCCGGTAACCACCCCCACCCTCTTCCAGGGAAAAACTGTCTTCCACGAAACCGGTTCCTGGGCCGACAACGTTGGGGACCGCAGAATGGGAAAGCCACTCTCCTGTTGCGAAGGTTAAATGAATACATATAGTGTCCAACAGCACATGGCAAATATCCAACACACTTAGCAAACAGAGGCGTGGCAGCCATCGCAAGGCTAAAGTCATCTAAACAGCATCTCAGTCACACCGACAGTAAAATGAAAAGGCAATGGGGGCGGGGAAAGGGCACTGGCTGGGTTCTCTACGGGTTTCCACGGCTGGATGCAGCCTCCCCGCGCCCTGACGGTTCCCCTGGTGACCTGGCCCCCAGACTGGAAGGCGGGGGGAGCAATTCTTCCAGCAGCAGTTCAGCCTCACCCAGGCCGATTTATTCTTCGAGTTCACCATGGACAGTGCTCTGTGAAAAGATCTACCAGCCCTAGGAAAGACAGTTCCTTCTCTCACACCTTTGGGAGATTCTGGGGTGAAATGACACCAAAAGGACCCTAACATAAGCCTACCTAGCTTCTCAACGGACCCTCTTTGAAATTCCAAGGACGTACTGCAGCTCCGTTTTACTAGAGAGAAAGCAACAGTGTCTGAGCTCCCCCTGCCCCAACCCACAGGATACCCTCCTAAAACGCTGGGATAGTGTTCTATCCATGAACTTAGCAGGCATCGGAGGGGATGCCTGCCTCGTCCCGGGCAAACCAGTGTTTGGAAATCACTTTCGGAGATCCTAAATGGCTGGATTTCATTCCTGCGATTCCGTTCAGAGGGCCTTGGAAAGGTCTGTGGGCATTGCAGTTCTCCCGCCAATGTGGCGCCACCGTGTGGCAACAGCGCAAACAGCGCATAAAATCACAGCCTTGAAATTCTGTGATTTTCACCAATTTTTAACTTTGAGGAATTCAAATTATTTCAATTTTGTATGCGTCAAGCGAGAATTCACTCATATATTTTCTTCATTCATATTTTCTTCTCACGCTCTTTCGGATCTGCATTATTCAAAGACACTATGAATAAATCAGCCTCCATTTAACAGGGTCAGCCCTGTTATATCTGGGGTCCCGCCGGTTGCACCACCCGAGCACCGATGACCAGGGCGTTGGGTGGGGCAAACCCAGTTCAAAGTCCAACCATGGCTCAAGACCGAAATCTTCCTTCTAGCTTTCTGGACTGGCTTAGGTCTAATTAACTACCTTTGGTTTGTATACAATAAAAAAGGAAGTAGAAAATCATCTGGCAGTTTCATTTTTGCTTTGAAACTGAAATGATAAAATAAACAGCAAGAGTTTACCCTGGCTAATGTAGCTCAGTGGATTGAGCACAGGCCTGCAAACCAAACCAAAGAGTCATAAAAGTAAGAGCCATCAGACAAAACTAAGCAGGATGGTGGGGTACTCTGTTCCCCTGGGACAGAGCACCCACACAGGTCATGGGGAGACCGGGAACATTCTAAGGTCTTAATCTGGGCCCTAGTTCCACAGGTCTGCTCGGTTTGTGGACATCTGTCATGCATACACTTCTGTGTAACATTAAAATCAATGCACCAAGGTCAGGCCAGTCTTTCCTCCTTAGCTGGCCTTTGAGACAAAAGCCTGTGGACACAATGGTCATAACCAGGAAGGCAAAGCCAGGGGGCATGCTCAGTTCTCTAGGAGGTATTTCAGTCTGTGTGAATTAACTGCACTCAAGGCCAAGGCCACAAAGGAACTCTCCTTCTGTCACTCTGGGCAGGGAGAAAGGAGACAGTCTATACCTCTGTTGGTTTGAATTGTCATGGCCAGGAGGGAAAACAACAGGAGGGTGGAAAGGAGCATTTTCAAAGTCTCACCAAACCAAATTTCTCAGGAAGGAGGGATTTTTAGGTCTGTGAATCGGAGCCTAGAGACTGCTGTTTAAAAAATAATAATAATAAATTTCCTCCGTTGCCACCTACAGTTCAGTTCCTCCTCCACAATCATCCTTCCACTTTTTCACGTCCCCTGAACCCCAACTGCCTTGTGAAGCCCAAAAGACAGGAATTGCTCCACTTCATAGACTAAAAAGTTGAGGCTCAGAGATGTTTGTCAGACTTCAGGAAACTATCTTAGTAGTCGTCTCATCGCTAAGTTGGGGCAAGGCAGGCTCAGTTGGAGAAACAGGGTGACAGCCTCAAAAGAGGAGGGTCAACCCTCTCCCCAGCCCAAAGTTCTGAAAACAGCTCACAGCCCCAAAGGCGCTGCCTCAATGGATCTGGAGTAAATGATTCACATCTGACAACATTTACATATCCCAGGACCGGACTCTAACCCCCCAGAGAAGGTGTGAAACACAGATCAAGGGCGAGGGAGAGAATGCGCAGACAAGAAGCCAAACTCAAGGCATTTTCTAAAGGCTGGTGGGAGCCAGTGCTGGGGAAGCCAACCCCAGAGCCCAGCCGTTTCTCTTAGGAAGTCCCTGGGCCCAAACCGCTGTGTGCAGTCAGAGTCTCTGGGATACGTGTCCTCCAGGAGAGGGCTTATCTGAGAGGAGACGGAGCAGGATGGATGTAGGCATAGAGGCACCTAGTGAATTCCCCTAACCCTGCCCAGACGTGAGCAAATTCACGGGGCATGGAAGGGATGCCGCACATGTTGCGGGTCCAAGCCTCCACTTCACCCCTCCCCGCGGAATCGCTCCTCTACTTACTCACCCCAAAGATCCCCCAAGGGGTTCCTTGGGATCAGCACCTGACCAATTTCAATAAGGCGGAGGTTGGGGAGGAGTATAAGGAAGAGACCGGGATTGAGTTGAGGTGACCCCCTGCCCCCCACTTTCTACCCTGAAACAGTGCGCCCCTCTCCAGACAGTCCGAGGACCGGGCCAGAGTCTTTCGATTAAGATTCTTCTTACTCCGTGCACCAGCCGTGACCTTGAGCGAGTCCCTGATTAGCCCCATTTTACAGAAATTAACAATACAGAAGAGTCAAATCAGCTGCGTGGGGATGATTCCTGAGTTTACTCGACGGTTTAAGGCGCCCCGCTGGTGCGCCCGTAGCGTGGTAGGTGCGCGGTGAACCGCAGCCCAAGAGCTACGTGGCCGGTGGGGATCGGTAACCGCCAGGGAAAACCAGAGGCGAGTCCAGCCCTGGCAGCAGGAGAAAGGCGAGGCTCCCACACTGCGACGGTGCGCTAGCAACTTCGATTCCTCGCCCCAAACCCCTCCGCAGAGGTGGACTGGCCTTGCCAGGGGCCCTGGCTCAGGACCCGCACCGGGTGTGGGGAGACATGCGAGACACCTCCACACACCCACCCCTGAAGTTGCCGCAACGTAAGAGAGACAGTGGCGCAAAGCCGCGAGAGGGGAGGGGACGGTACTCACACGCGGTAGCCGGGCTGGAGTAGGTCCGTGACCTGGGTCATCGATGGTGGCCACGCTCAGGCCACCACGCCTCAGGGTGTCTGGGGCACCTGCCGCAGCGCAGCGCGTGTATTAGGAGGCTGCCGGCTGAGAGGCAGGGGTGCGGGTGGGTCAGTGCACCTGCTCTGAGCTGCAACGCCGCGGGGCTCAGCCGCCAGAACTGCAGCAGCCGCAGCGGGAGTCCAGGAGCAGCTTGGAGGCGAGAGCACAGCGGCAGTGGCTGCGAGGGAGTCGCCTGTGCCGCAGGCACCCAGGGCCAGCCTGGCCGCAGCCGCGCGGACACCCTGGCCCAGCTGCCGGCCAATCAGAGGCGCCCCGAGTGGGGGCGCGTGCGGAGGCGGGGCGCGGGCGAGAGGGGCGGCGCCACAGCGCCTGCGCCGGGGCAGGGGTTGCCTGCCCGCTGGTTCCTCTGGTTCTCCCCGGGCGCGGGCGGCACGCCTCGGGAGGAGGCGGGGCCGGGGCTGCGCCAGCAGGGCCAGGGATCCGTGCCCCCTCCTGGGCTCTCCCTGGCGGCGCAGTGCGCTGTCCAAGTGGCGGGCCCGGGAGCCCCCAGTCGAGACCTCAAGTCACTCCCAGCTTCGAAGTAGGGCTTTTCCTGTCCCCAGCCACTGAAAAGCTGGTGTGGGGTGGGGGCAGGGGGAGGGTGGGCTCTCCTGACTGCGTAGTGACAGGTCATCGGACCCTCTGCTCCATGCTGCCTGTCGCAGGCCGGACGGTGGGCGCCCTGCCGCCAGACCCTCACCAGGGACCCTCACCAGGGGTGGCGTGGCGCTTCTGCAGATACACTCCTCCCTCCTTTAACAGTCATTCCCTGGGCACTTAAAAGTCAACAAGGGGACCCATGCCCCGGTCTGGATTCCTTTCATTCTTGTGAATTTACTGTGCTAATGATGCTCATTCGTTCCGAACATAGATTGGGTTCCCGCTGGGCTGGGGCACTGTCTCGGGCCACTGGGCGGCCAAATCCCCAGAAGCCCAGTCCTGCGCACCTACGAGTTAGTAACCCGCGCTGGTGGAAGGACTCTCCAAGATCGTAGCGGATGAGGGACGCCTCCGTGCCCAGGCCAGGAGCACCAGGTCCTGGAAGAGTGGCTAGAAGTCGAAAGGTTCCGCTGCAGGCCAGAGCTTCATGGCCCGTTTGCATCCATCAGGCACAAGGCCTGGAATCTTCCTAAGACTGCGGAATGCTTCGACTCCAACTACTGGGCAATGAAAATACATCCTCAGTTTTAGCTGCAGGAAGGAAGTCACTCCAACAAAATGTTTGCGGAGCTACATTGGTGATTCCTAAAACCCTGGGAATCCTCAGTCAAGACGGTGAATTGAAGCTGTTCTCTGCACGTAAATTTGCACAGCAGAAATGGATGGCTCGCCTGTTTGTTGATCTGTCTGCAGCAGAAAAAAACAAGCAAGCAAACGAACAAACAAAACATCCTCTCAGAAGGGAACTTGGAAGGTAAAGAAGTTGAATTTTCTAAAGATCTGTTTTCCTGTCTTAAAGGGATTTTATTAATATTACCTACAAACTGGTTAAAGTAGAAGGAAGTTTGTGTTTAGTTTCTATTTTATGTATTCAATTTTCATTCTATTTATCTATGCTTGATTAGCACAGGCGTGGCGCAAAGTTAAAAAAGTATAAGTGGGTCACAGTTCCCACGCCTTGTTTCCCAGCCTCTCAGTTCTTCTCCCTGGAGGCAACCATTACTATCCCGTTCTTAGGTGGTCCCCTGGAGAAAATAGTTGTCTGATGTCCTTATATTTACTCTTTGTTACACAAAACAGTAGGTCTGACTTCTGGCACATGTGGAATCAGGGGTTCAAGTGAGGTGTATGGATGTAGAATGTGAAAGGGTTACTGTCCACAGGTGACCCTTCAGTGTTCGTGTCGTGTCAAGAATGAGGCTATGCAGGTGTTTGCAGAACTGACCTAAACATATAAACTCACCTCTTCACAAGTCCTAAACTAACATCTTGCCTGAGTGGTAAACAGTTTAAAAGAAAGGCAAATAAATACAGAAGAGTTCAGTGATTTGGTCAAGGTCACAAATAATACAGAAAGAAAGTAGAGATGGTGATCCGGAGACATTATGAATGAGAAAGAGTCCCAATTCCCTATTTGTCATCCTCCAGGTCAGAAACAGATGCAACATTAATTCTTCACCAGAGCTGTTATTGATTTTTTAAAAAATCATTCCCCATGAATGATTTTTCCCCATGAAAGGTTTGGCATTGGAAGATGCCTTGGGTAACAATGAGCCTGCAAGAAGAAGACCTAAAATGCTACCCCTTTGATTACTGCATCCTGAGCTGTCATTTAGCAAAATTCTACTGAGTCCCAGCAATACCCATCCTTTCTCTTGCCCCTTATGATGCACAGGCGGGGCTTGCTTTTCCATCTGCTGCGTGATCTGGACCACTGTACAAGTTTTAATGGAGTCTTTCCTTATCAAGAGGAGCTCGTTGATTTGTGCACCAATGAAATGCATCTTGTGTTCTTTTAAAATGTAAATCAGACAGTCCATTTCTTAGCCAGGAAATTGATGAGTTTATACTAAAAGGAAAAGGACAAGTCTCAGGAGGATTCTGGGTAGAATTAAAAGAGCATTCATCACAGGACTGGAGTGCCAGTCTGCCCTTACCACTTCCTGTGTGCATGACCTTGGGTAAGTTACTTAGCTTCATCAAACCCTAGATTCTCTAAATAAAATTTAGTTCAGTCCTCTCCATTGCCCTGTAAGGTGGTTATTAATTGGTACAATGTATGTGGAATTGCTTTGCTCAGAATGAGATTTCATATATGTTAGTTATCTAAAAATTATAATTTTAACCTGGAAAAAGTGAGTTTATAAAGACAATGTCTATGCCCTTTTGTAGTATTCTCTGGCATAGACATGGTGAAACTTTCACCTACTGCTTCCTTACCATACAAAATGTATCTGATTTTCTTCTTTAAAAAATGTGCCTCTACCTCTTCCATGGCTCTGAGCATTTGTTATATGTTAGTTATTTGGATACATCTCCACCCAACATCCGCTGCGAGAGTGGAAATGCCTTGAAGCTGGAACCATGTCCCGTCTTGGATTCCTGTGGGTGCCTACAGTAGTGTCTTTACAATGGTGGACATGCAAGAATTATTTGTTGAATGAAAAATAAGTGGATGACAGGAAGCATTGGTAAGTGGTACCTTCTAAACGTTTTTTTTTTTAACTTTCATTCTATAAAAACTACCAAGAAGACGAAAGGACAAATAATATTCTAGGAAATATATTCTCAAATAACATATCTGACAAAGGATTTGTATCTAGGAAAAAAAAATGCTCGACATTCAATAGTAAAAAACCAAACAGTCCAATCAGAAAATGGGCAGAAGGCATGAAAGGATATTTCACTGAAAAGTGTATACAGCTGGCAGATAAGCACATGCAAAAATGCTCAGCATCATCAGCCATGAGAGGAATGTAAACTAGAAGTGTAACAAGACATTACTGTGTATCTAGCAGAGTGGACAAGGCGAAAAGTACTGACCACACCAAATGCTGGTGAGAAAACAGTAACTGTGTCACCTATTCATTGCTGGTGGGAGTGTGGAACGGTGAACTCACTCTGGAGAATAAGTTGGCTCTTCCTTTTAAAACTAAACTCGGACCTACCATACAGCTCAGCAATGGCACCTGGGGCATTTATTCTACAGAACTGAACACTTACATTCACATAAAAGCTTGTGCCGAGCAGGCCACACAGGACCAGTCCTCAACAACCCCCCGCGGGCAAGGCTGAGACGGAGGACCACGGCACGCATCCACGCCGCTCGCTGTGCAAGGAAAATATTCACGTGTTGGGACAGTTCGAGGTGGGTGGGAGGCTTCAAAATGGGAATTCTGCATTTTTCTGCTCTTCGGCAGGGATTAATTTTTTGAAAATGCGAAAGAGGCCCTGGCTGGTGTGGCTCAGTGGATTGGGCACCAGCCTGCAAACCAAAGTGTAGCCAGTTTGAGTCCTAGTTCAGGGCACATGCCTGGGTTGCAGGCCAGGTCCCCAGAAGGAGGCCCTTGAGAGGCAACCACGCATTGATGTTTCTCTCCGTCTCTTTCTCCCTCCCTCCCCACTCTCTAAAAATAAATAAATAAAACCTTTTTTAAACAATCAAAAGACATGTGACCATGTGTGTATCTCGAGTTGGTGAAACAGCTCATACCGGCCAAAACAGAAATAGAAATGCAGAGAAAAGAATGTATTGTTTCTGGTAAATGTAGTATTTTTCTCCAAGCTATCCTTTAGAATAATTAATATTTCATTGTACAGCTCTTCATTCCCTACTACATGCAGGCTTTTAAAAAGCTTTGCTGCTTTCTTTAGTAAAGTTGATTCTATCTCTGGAGGACAATGTAGAAGTAATAATAGAATCTTGTCACTCACTGATCCAATACGGGATCCTGATGCTGGTGAGAGATACTGATATTAATGTTATTTTACGGAAGTATCTGTGCCTACCAACCTACAGAATCTTGATTTGTGACTCTCTCCTCTTTTGCTCTGTTTTGACTGAAAATCAGGTCTCCACCATAAAGCCCAGATTTCATGAATAACCGCTACAACCCATCAGATACAATGTTTCTCTGAATCCGGAACCAGTGGAGACGTGGGGCAGCTGACTCAGCCCACAGCTGTGCTGAGGATTAATAAAATTAGCGGAGAGTCTCCAGAGTCTCAGGCAGAGACTCAGCCAGAGCCCCCCGTGTGAGTGTGCATCTCCTTCATAAAAATCCTCAAACCCCGGGGGAAGTTTCCGTTGTCATGCTTTATTTCCCTGGGGCTTAGCAATAAGTTTGCTATCAAAACGGCAAAGTCAGGGATCACCAAAGACAAGGAGATGCATGAGCCTGCCCTTCTTCCTTGGTGCCTGACCCTCCCGGCCCTGCTCCGCATTTTCTTAGCTCCATAGCACGTGCCACCTTTTAACACAGCTTTTATTCTGCTTAGTCCTTACTATGTATCTTCCCCACTAGAATAAAATGCGCATAAGAGCAGAGATCTCTGTTTTGTTCACTGGTACCTCCCAGCGCCTTGGACAGAGCCTAGCACAAAGGGCGTGCTGGACAAACACTGAATGAATGAAGACACCAGAGAAAACGCTCATCCACTGACATTTACAAGTTGGAGATGCTCAGAAGCTTTCACGCCTGCTGAATATTCACCCTGATGTTTTGTAATCAGGCAACCTGAATTTTAATATATTTTAAAGTTCCTTTGAGAGGTGATGAATCTCTCTGCTGGTTGCAGTGGTATTACCAGTTCCCCGAGGATATTTCTCCTCCCAGCAATGCCCCCTCTGCCATGACCGCCACTACCTTTAAGACAGAGCCAAGAGACTTGTGGTTCTGGGAGACTGAAAAAGGGATTCCATTGGAAGATAGAAATATAAAGGTGGGGGAGACAGGGAATATAATGTGGAAGAAGTTTCTACTCTACAGGAAGGAAAAAGAAAAAAGAAAGCAGCACTCTCTCTCCCAGGGAAACAAGCAAGTCATTTAGACTTAATGTGAGAAGCTAAAAAACACTATTCAGTTCTCCCAAGGATGCAGGACTGAATCTTCCTTGGTCCCCTGGGGAGGATGGTGAGAAGATGGAAACAATGTAGCATTTGAGGTGGACCCTGAATACAGAGGGGGCGAGAGAATCGAGCCCCTGAGAGACCCCAAGTATAGTCTACTAAATGCCACTCATAAAACATACGCAATCAAATTTGATTAGACCATAATCCAATCATGCACACAGAGAAAAGATGGAACTACAGGGGATTCCGGCCATGTAGCCCGTTCCCTCAGGGATGACACAGCAGTTACCCCCTACCACGGGTAACTGGAAGACCTGTGCATTTACAGGTCTCACCTCTGACGTTCTGCCCTGCTACATGCAGAGATGGCCAAATACTGCAAGGACTCACCCCTCTCATCAACAGGTGAAGGCTGCCTGCCCTCCACATCTCCTCAAAGAGCCTTGGCCCCCTCCAGGTCTTAAACCAGGAGATTTCATCTATCCAACAGGACATCGGAGAAAAGCTCCTCCTGGACTTCATTGGAAGAGACCTTATCAGGTACTGTTCACAAATTCAGTAGTGAAACTCCAGGGAGTTAATCCTTGGCTTCACGTTGCACAACTAAAGAAGTAATTCAGAATTCCACACAGTTGGCAGACTACTCCAAAAACAGACCTCAAATTTAGGATTCTCAGAGATCCACCTGTAGCAGCGGCTGCTCTTTGGAAGCAGACAGCTGACCCGAGATCTTTGGAAACTGCAGATAATTTAGGGTAGTGGACGGTGCTGCCCAAATGGGACTAAGATCCCTGACTAATTCCTGTTTTGTGGTTCATCTGCTTGCTACTAACCATTCCTCTGCTCAGGCTCCTCATTGCTGTCCACCCAGAATGACCCATTGTCTCTTGTTTCCTCTTCATTATAGTTGTTAGGCCAGAACATACTCATTCTAACACCATTCGTGGATTATCCCAAACAGTAGCCACTGCCCTGAATCTTACTGATTGCTGTATCTGCCATCCATCATCAGATCATCATGATTTAAAAAAAAAAAAACCTGTAGACAAGTTCAGTCTTATCAAACAAGTTTATAGGAAATTGCAGCTAATGGCATTTGTGTCTACACAGACAAATGACCTTGAATAAATCAATGAATTTGGTAGTACCCCTTTCTCTGAGGAAAAGAACCAATTACGATTGGCTCTACCTTTGAATTCAACAACCTTCATGGAGTTATGGGCCAATGACTTGCCCCCTGAAATAGTTTAATAGAGACTCAAATATGTAACTAGGCTAATGGAGGGCCTTTCTTCCGACCTCCCAATCATCGGCAATTCCTTCTCTCCTAAATCTCTGTGTGCTTGCCAGGCTATTGCTTTCTTTGCAGCCAGCATGGCTGGTCTCATGCACCTCAGACTAATACATCCTGTACTTTATGAACAGCATTCCAAGACTGATCTGTACACAGAGACCCTAATTCTGTGAATCACCAGTTTAGAGAGTGCCAACTCCAATGCAAGTTCTCAAACAAGCCAACCCTTGATTATTCAGGCCTTAATAATCCAACCAGGGAAATTATTCATTGTTTACAGGAACGATGAGAGCAGTGTTCCCAACGGTGAAAGTCCTACAAGCAAAAAGTACTAGAAGCAACTTATTATAATAACTTTGGCAGAAGTTATTAGCAATGCCATCTTCACCACAGATGAAATACAGACCAATCTCAACTCACTGTCACAAGTCGTGATGGACAATTGCATTCTGCAGATTTTTTGCCAGCTAGTCAAGGTGGTATCTGTGCCGTTGCTAACCCTTCTTGCTGTACTTAGATGAATGAAACAGGTAAAATAGAACAAGCAATATATTGCCTTCAGGGGGAACCTATTTGGCTTTTTAAGGTTGATTCTTATGGCCCATTGTTTTATGTGTTTATCTGGTCTGGGTTGGACAATCCTGGTTCTGAAGTATCTTATAGGGGCTATTAATTATTTTAGTTTTGGTCAGTGGTTATAATGCTGGCTTCTTGCATACTACTTAGTTGCTCTCTTAACAGATAATCACCATGATGATACAACAATAGAAAGCTCAAAATAATCCTGTAAGGCAGTTGATCCTGGAGACAATTGAACAATCCCCAAACGGCGAAGACCTGGATTTACAGCCTTCCCTGATTTGGCCAGCCTCTCGCCAGTGAGAGGTGTCCCAAAGGGAAACTGAGAGTCTGAATATGCAAGTCAGAAATGGCCAGCGCACAGGTAACAACAGAATGCTAACTTACAATCTCGGTAGCAACCAGTTCAGGAAATGAAAACACAACCTTTATAGCAATTGGTTCGGAGCAATTAACTCTTTGTTAGTAATTGCCAGATTTTCTCATTTTTGCACCAGCTTCCAACTTAGGACCAACCAGAGAAAGCCAAATATGCTTTCCAAACCAGTCACATAAGATGCCCCACCTCTGCTTACCCCGCATCCAGATTCCCTATGCCAACAGCCCCTAATCAGAGGATAAGACCTAATGCCTTCCTTAGTACTGCGATTATAAAGCTTCCTGCTACCCTGCCTGGCTTTGACCCTACCAAACATAAGTGATGGTGTTTTTCTTCTTTGCATGGTCTTTATTTATTTCCACAGCCAGTCTGGAACTCTGGAAGGAGACAGCCCCACATGGCTTCCATCCTGCAACCTAGCAGCTGCAGACGAAGAGGAATGAAACTGTGGCAGACTTAAAGTAAGAAAGAACAGGAGGTGGTACCCTGGTACTTCTTTGGCTCTTACACAGCATAGAAGGAATCCGTAAATCCCCGCATACTCCCTGTGAAAGAATGTTGAAAATAATGCGAGTTGAGAGCCAGTGAGCCTGCAGGGACCACTTTGGGGAGGAACTAGGCAATGCTGTTGCAGGTGATGTGAGGTGATTTGCCAGGGCCAAGGACCTGATGTGGAGTTTGACTGAACTTCAGAGGTTCTGTCCAGGCATTAAGAGCTAAAGTGGAGTCAGTTACCAAGGGAAAGACTCCAAGTCCTCACCATGTCCAGAATACTGTATCAGTTAGGTTTTGCTGTGTAACAAACCACCTCAAAACTTAGCAATGTAAAACAGTAAGCATCTATTAGCTCAGCATTCTACAGGTTGGGTAGGCATCTTTGGAACTGGACTGCCTCAGCTGATCTTGCTAAACCCGTGCAGGAGGCAGGTTAGCTGGTGGCTGAATGATTTAGGATGGCCTCACTCACTGAATAAAATGGATTGTAAGTGAGCGATCATGTGACCAACGATTTTAGTGGTTTTCTGTGCTCCAGCTTCTACATGATATATACTGTCCCCAAAGATCAAGGTGAATTCCTCCATGAATAGACAAAGAGGAGGAGGTCAAGGCCATCTAGCGGCTACTTGAGCTTTGCATTCACAGATCTGCTTTCCTTTCTGAGAAACCCTCTTCAGATGAGTGCTACCTGGAACATTCTTTCTCACAGGAGAGAACTATAGAATAGCTGTCAAGAGCCAGAGCCCCAGATTCTAACTGTAACATGTCTTAATTTAAAATCTCCCTGCTTCATTTTTTCTCATTTGTAACATAATAACAGCACCAACTACCTCGTAGGCTGCTGTGATTAGTAATGAGTTAAAGCATGGAAAATTCCTAGAACGGGCTCTAACAACAGGGTGTACTCTGCAGATGTAGTAACTACTTAGTTTACCTTCGATCTGGCAGCCCTCCAAAAACAGCCCACCAGACTGTAATACTGCTTTCAAAACGTGTATCAGAGGGGCACCTCTTGAGGAGCCAGGGAATCATTTTTTTCCAGTTGCAAATATTTTGTCCGCATGACTTTCTGTGTGGTACTATCATAGTTAATGGATACATTTTGCATTTTTATTTTTACATTTTACAATTGCCAAAATGACACATTCTTACACTGGGAACCTGTAAAACATAAAGAAGCATTAAAGGGAGAAATGCACTCAAATGATGGAGACCCTCACTGTTACATATATAATATATAATATATTATATATATATTATATATATATATATATATAGTGAAAATAATGACATAATGCGCTTCTAGAAATATTTTTCACTTGGTAAAATACTATGTATGCTTTCCCATGTCACTATTTTAATAGCTACAGGTTATTCCATCCTATGGGTGTGTTACAAATTCATCTCTTGATCCCCGAGTGGTGTACTTACAGGGATGGTGAATGACCCATCCCCAAGCCAGTGTTTTAGCAGAAGGAACCCATCCGATCTTCATCTGCTGAAAGATTATTAAGCGCTGTCCGTCCCTTCCACCAGATGTTTTACTCCTGTGCCCTGGCTGCCTCTTTGCCTTCATTATTTTTGAGGGTAGGTGAATCCAAGTCAAGCACGCCCACAAGCCAGCGAGGGAAAATCAAAAGGCTACAAGATGGAGCTTATTACATAAGATCAAAGGAAAGAGTGTTCTTTTGTCCATTGTCTGTCGGTTCTCCCTTCAGTTAACTATGTGCTGACATCTCCTTCATGTGTTGCTTTGTGTTTTTAAACACAGGAGTGTCTTGTCTGTGTGTCATCCTGTAACACGTCAGGGCATAAAGCTGGCCAGACATATCCTTCCTTCATTTTAAGGAGAAAAGACCCCAGGTCTGCTTCAAGGTTAAAACAGGATAAGAAATATCAATAAGTCACCTACATAGGCAAACACTGAAGCGCCCAAAATACAAAACTTGTTCTAAATGGACATTTTTTTCCTGGGGATATTCCATGTTTTGAATTATGTATGTGGGATAATTAACGAATGAATTGCTCCGGTATCTGTGCTGATGGCAGAGTCTACGAAGCCACGAACGACCAGGCAGTTACAAACTCTCCGGCAGCCAAATTCTCACATCACAGGCCACGAGCTACAGAGCACGCTGTTCATTGGGCATCCTGTATATTTTGCTTTGGGGGAATTATCACCTGCTCCGTTCATTGCATGGCTGCATTTCCTGGGCAGGACCCAGGTCTAGTCACGAAGCCCCCAAGCCTCTGGCCCCAGTGACTGAGCTAGGTTACCTGAGCGAGGTCACTGACACTCAGTTCTCCCTCAACAATGAGAAAGAGGGGCCATTAGTAAAACTGGACTTGACATGAATAGATTAAGTGTCAGAGCTGCTCGCAGCCACCTTCCTGAGAGCAAAGGCACATGCTCCGTAAAATAATCCCTCCCAGTTATTTAGTCTATGATTTTGTGAGCTGTGCTCTGGACTCAGCTGAGGGTTTTTCCCCCCCTTTCTGGTCTTGGCTGGATTTGCCCCATATGTCTACGGGCAGCCCCTGCACGGCGGGGCCTGGCTGGTCTATGATGGCCTGACCTGGGATCGTTTGTCTCTGTTCCACGTGGTCTCTGACTCTCCAGCAGACCGACCTTGGTCAATTCAGGTGGCAGGGGAGTGATTCCAAGGAAGTGAGTGGGAGCATCCAAGGCCTTGAGGACCGGGCTCTGGACTGGGATAGCCTCACTTCCCTCACATTCTATTAGTGAGAACAAGTCTCAAGTCCAGTTCAGATGTAAAGCAGGGGGAGGGTTGGAATAGACTCCATCTTCCTCTGAGAAGAGCTGCAAAGTCACATTGCATGCAGGTCTACTTAGAGGAAAGGAAATAATTATGGCTGTTTTTGTAAATTATCTTCCACCATCCGTCTTCAAATCCCAGTGAGTCATGCCTCTTCTATATGCAAAATATCCTTCCCTCCCCACAAGATCTCCTTCCATCTGGACTGGAGTGCATGTTTTGGGGACCTACATCCTGCCACGTTAGGCTTCCCTTGATTGGAGGCCTGTGAACTAAAAAGACAACTTATTTGCACCCAGCACACCCAACATGGAAATGCAAGGCATAGCTGAATGGCCATAGTAGACTTTTCCACTAAAATACCCTCTCGAGCACAAGTCACGCCGTGAAAAATTTTGTCAGTTTGATGCACCAAAGAATCTTCCCCCTTTTGGATGAGGTCAGAGAGAGGATGTGGCTGCCAGTTGACCTTGAGCTGGACCCTGGCAGCTGGAGGCTCCTCACCCCTTCCCTTGTCCTGGGAATGTACACTCTGCCCACCATTCCCACACTAGGAGCTGCTTCAAGGACACAGTCTTGAGAGAGTAGGTGTTGTTGAGGTCAGCTGGACTGAATACGTGACAACCTAGTTAAGGCCTCTGGAAAAACTTTTAAGATTTTGGTGGGCGGGTGCAGAGATTTACTTGTCCTGTGGCCCCATAGATGTGTGGGGCCTCATGTATAAATCCCCTTGCTTGTTAAATCTGCCACTGACCAATCTGGAGTGGCCCACCTCTTTCTTTGGTCTCTTCTTCCTCTCTTTAAGGGGCCAGAGTGCAAAGCAACAATCACAGAGCAGAAGATGCTGAAGGTGTTCAGGATGAAGAAAAAGGTCCTTGCAAGAGGTGTTTTTCTTAAAGTGGCTATTTTCTTCCTTGGTTTCTGCAGATGCTGACGTACTAAATTCTAAAAGTGACTTGGCCAGATTCTTATCTGCAGGTCAACAGGATTTTCTAATAAATGAAACATTCATGCATTTTTTTGTTAGTGTATAATTCTTTTTTTAAAAACTTGATGTTGCTGTCCTGGCCATTGTGGCTCAGTTGGATGGAACATCATCCCATAAACTAAAAGGTTGTAGGTTTGATTCCTGGTCAGGGCACATGCCTCTGTTGCAGGTTTGGTTCCCAGGCAGGACATGTGTGAGAGACAACTAATCAATGTTTCTCTCTCGTGTGGATGTTTCTCTTTCTCTCTCTCTCCTTCTCTTTCCCTTTCTCTCTAAAATCAATAAGCATGTCCTCGGATGATGATTAAAAAAAAAGTTGCTGTTGCCATTTTGAATTGCACCCTAAATCCTGGTATTCAATGAGATATGACGAGTAAAATATTTATATCTTGTTTTATTATTAAACATTTAGTATTTTCTCTACATTTTTTTTGTTTTCTACTAAATCAAAATGGTTTGGTCAATGTACACTGACAGCTGCTTAATATATCCTCCGATTCAGTCCTAGGATACATTTTAATTAAACAAGGGTTTTCTAAAGCTTGATAACTTTTTAACATTTTTACAACTTTTTGTTGAAGGGTAATATACATATAGAAAACTATGCATACCATACATGTATAGCGTGACAAAGTTTCCCATTGAACACACTTGTGTAATCAGCATGTAGATAAGAAACAGGATATTACCCGGCCCCAGAAGCTTCCCCATGCCCGCTTTTAGCCACTGCCCCTCTCAGACAGGGCTTCTCAGCCCCAGCATCATGGGTGTTTTGGACTGGACAGTTCTCTGCTGTGGGGGGGCTGTCCTGTGCAGAGTGGACCTCCACCCACTAGCTGTCAGAAGCAACACTTACCCCAATGTGACAACCAAAATGACTCTCCAAATATTGCCAAATGTCCCTTGGGGACCAAATTATGCCTGGCTGAGAACATCTGTCTGTAGAATGACCACTATTATGACTTCTAATAGCATAGATTAATACAGCCTATTTTGCACTTTATATGAAGAAACTCACACACTATACTCACCATCTGGTTTTATTCTCTGAAGATGACATCTGTGAGAGGCAGCCATACTTTGTGTGTAGTTGTAGGCTGTTCACTCTTGCTCACTCCATTGCATGAGTATAACACAGTTTATTGATCTATTTAACCATTGAAGGACACCTTAGTAACTGCCAATTTTTGACTAATACATATAGTTAATCTCATTTATTTGTTATCATACCTTAGGTCCCAAATTATGTATCATATCTTACTTCTTGAAAAAATTTTAAGCTAAGGCATCTAAATTTTGGAAATCTTGTTCACCTGAAACAAATCATATATGTTAGGCATTATAAGTAAAATATTTTATGGCAGCTTCATAAGAAACTTACAATGGAGCCACCAATTCTATGGATGAAGTTGGAAGGGGGGAGAGAAATTCAAATTCAGTGTAAGCAACATTTATTGAACACCTATGACTGTGAGGCACTGTTGGCAGGTCTGGAAATGTGAACATCAGTAAGACAAGTTCTGTGTCTGAGAAGTTTGCCTGTCCATTCCTCCTATTGCTGGCTGATGTTTTTCTCCTGGGGCTGGTAGATGAAACGGTACCTCCTGCTTGGAAGGTTGATGATCAGGGGGAGGAGGGGGCATGGGGTGGGCACTGGAGCTGCACCTACTTTAGGTCTTTGTCCAGAAGGATAAAAGTGGGGGGCCTAGAATTCTAGCCCCACCCACCAGGGCTAGAAAATAGGGGAGGGTTTAGAGCAGAACCTTAGCTGAGAATAGGCAGGGTGAAAACTGCAGGGAGCGGGAAAAGTGCGCCCTGTCCCCCAGAGACCCTCGTGGCTGGGATGACTGGATGGGGTGTGGGGAGAGAGGTGGCAGACACAGACCTCAGGACACCCAGCTAACAGGACTGAAGTGCTTGGTGATGCTCCGTGAATCACTTCAAAATGAAGTCAGAAAAGTTCACTGACATTCACACCACACATCCTGCTGGACAAAGGAGGGTGTGAGCCTAGAGAAAGAAGAGCTCCGCAGGGCTCCTGCTTTTTAAAAATACGCCAGTTTGGTATTTAATAGGCATCAAGCAAGTTGAGCAGTGGCCCTTTTACAAGAAGGGTTTCCTCTGCAGTATTTTATGAAGCATCTTTGTCTCTTCTCTCCACTACTCACGTATTCTATTAACTGTCTACAATTTGAGTACCATAAACTCAGGGGCCAATGTAACGGGTATCACCCTTCCTCCTTATTCACTGTGTTCAAGCTTCTCAGACTTTCACTCTCCTCCTTAATTCATGTTTGTTCATTATTACTACATATTATTCCAACTCAGTACACTTTCATTAAATTAGCCAAACAATTATGTTGTGAGTTTATTTGGGATTAACTTTCAATTAAGGTCACATTATAATGATCAAATACAAAAAAAAAAGAATCTCAATCCAATACAGGAAGGTCCCCACATTTTATTATAATTGTTACTACATATCTTTAAACCCAGACCTTATTTCCAAGAAAATTCTAGAGCTCATTTAAAAAATGATATTTCAACTGTCTTTCTGGGCTAGTCTTTAAGCACCTCACCTAGTTCATTTAAAAAAAAAAAAAGCAACAGGCAAAGCAAAACAAACCAAAACTCGCCCAGCTTTTTGCAGGCGGGATGAGGCCATAGGAACCACTCCCCCACTCCTCCCCCACCCCCACCCCTCCCCACAGCCAGTTAGCCAATTAGAGAACAATGGGACATTGAGTCGCTGAAAAGCAGAGCCTTAACATTGAAAAGTCAGCCTTTTAAGTTTGTCTCTTGTTCAGTGGGGAAATCCCGGAAAGAACACATTTTTCACCGAATTTATCTATCACATGCTAAAATGACCCAGAACAAATGCACGAGACTGTCCATGGAACTGCTTGTGCCTTCCCTTTAATCCATCTCAAAAATTTTTCACTGAAAAGGATTTGCAATGGGTTATCACATGATAGCCGAAAGCGTTTTTCTCTTCAAAATTTGTGCTTACTATTTGTGCATCCCAACAGTATAAGTTATTGTTTAAATAAGTATGCTTACTATTTAAAGGAAACTGTGCCTTGATTTGTAAAGCAAAATGTGTATACATGTTCTTTAAAACATTATCTAGCTCTGGCTGGTGTGGCTCCGTGGATTGAGTGCCAGCCCGCAAACCAAAGTGTTGATGGTTCAGTTCCCAGTCAGAGCACAAGTTTGGGTTGCGGGCCAGATCCCCAGTGGGGGGCCTGTGAGGGGCAACCACACAGTGATGTCTCTCTCCCTTCCCCTCTCTAAAAATACTACACAAAATCACTGCACATCTATTTGTATGTGTGGGTGTGTACTCACACATAGCAGTATGTATCTACCTATCTAGTGTGTGTGTGTGTGTGTGTGTGTGTGCAGAATGTTGTCCCACCTCCTTCCCTAAGAAGCTCAGTGGACAGCTTTTTGGAGCCACGCTCCTTGCCTCGTCACCAAATGCCTCAGGAAGAAAAAAATATCTACAGAGTGAGGCCAGCAATTGTATCTTAGAGCAATTGCTCTCTGTTTAAAGCAATTTTTTTCTATTGTCACACATAGGATGGACAGTATTCAAGTGCACGACACTGTCCTGCTGTGATCCCCGGGCAAGGCTCAGTCCCCAGCAGTAATTCTACTTAAGAAAGCAGCTGAAAATGGGAGTTAGTGACAGTGACATAATCATAGGGATGATTTGGGTGGTTATTAAACAAAGTTAATGATTTGCAATACTTCAGTTACCGTTCATTTGTTCAATATGTATTTATGGCACGTCTACCCTCTCCAGGCTCTGGTCTAGGTGGCTGGGCATACAACATTGTTGTTTGAAAAGACAAATTTCTGGCTATCTGTGGAAATTACATTTTAGTGAGCTGACAGGCACTAAACAAACAGACAAACAAGTGTGTGTTTCTGTGAGGTGGGGGGGTTACTGCTAGGTGTCATGGAGAAAAGAAAAGGAGACCACGGGATAGTGTTTTGTTCATTAGATTAGTCAGAGCACGCCTACCCGAGGAGGTGGTACTTGAGTAGAAAGAGATCTAGAGGAAGTGAGAAGGCAAGTCTCCTGGGCATCTGGGGGAAGACTGGTCTGAGCAACCGCAAAGACCCCAGGGTGCAAGCCTGCTGCGGGGTTCTGAGAACATCAAGTGGACCGAAGTGACTGGGTGGGAAAGAATGTGGGCAGTGGTGGGAAGTCAGAGTGATAGCAAGGAGTCCAGAGCCTACGGGCTCTGTGAACTTAATTCTTAATGCAATGGGAAGCCACTGGAGTGGTTTCAATTAGGCGGTACTCAGCTTGACCCTATGAACATACCGATGCTCAGGCTAGGATATCAGGTTCTGTGTCGGGTACATTCGGTAGTGGAGGGATGTAGTTGGCATTAGGTGACCTGTCAGGCAGCAATGACCACAGTCCAAGTGAGCTGGCGGTGGCCTGGTCAGAGCAGAGGAGTGGAGAGATGGAGCAATATTTTGATGTGATTTGGAAGCAGAGTGATCAGGGATTGCTGATGGAGTGGAAGGGGGGGGGGTAAGAGAAAGACAGGTTTATGGGATAGGAATGGCATTCACTGACACAGTGGACCCTGGGAAAAGAGGGTGTTCTGCTCAAGATATGCGTGATAAGTGGATTCAAGGGAGAGAAGTCAGCCTTAGATCTGTGTATCAGCTCCACTTTACCTTTTAATAATGTTGCCATTGAGTTCCTTTGTCTAATGGCGCAAACTATAATGAGATTATTTTCTAAGTGCTAATCCTCTCAGAGATCTGAGACAACCCAGTTGCTGCTAATAAAATTTCCTGTAGATCCGACCCCAGAGTGGCTGTGCTGGTACCAGGCAGACGTAGTTTAAAGCACTCCCATTTACAGAACAGACTTGCTAGTTCC